ACCTTATTAAAGATACTTCTTGCAATCATAAGAACATTTGGTTACTTTCATAAGATATGAATAAAGTTTATAACTCTATCAACTTTACTCTTTTTAAATATACACTTTCTTACCTCCTACTTCTTTTATTTACTATTAACATTCTCTTTGACCTTCTTACCAATTGTTACAATTAAGTTATAACTAATTATAGTTTAACTTCATCCTATTCTGGGATGGGGTCCTGTAGCCTAGTGGTCTAGGTGTCTCTTCTTCCACAGACAAGGTTGATGGTTCAATTTCAGCTGGAGGCAACTCTGTAATCTACAGAAGTATATGAATGTACGTAAAGCCCTGTGGCTAAGTCCATGTAACTAGAAGATCAATATATAAGAAAGTTTCTGGAAAAAAGATTCCTGATATGGAGAGTTAGTGCTCAATGTAAGAGAAGTGGTAAACATATCAGAAATAGAGAGAAGGCACACTAGCAGGTGATATAGTAAACATAAAAGGAAACTATAGAAAAGTAATAGACTTACTAAAATTTGAACACTTGTGGTATCAAACTGGTTCTAGTAGATATAGGATCTACTAAAATTGGACAAATCTAAAAGGTAATCTTGGTATTAACTTAGTAAGTCTGTGTTGAAGATAAATTTAAGGGACTATGGATACCTGGTAATATCCAATAAGGTGGTACCTTGATATAAATAGTAATTAAATAGCTTTAACTTGTTATGTCTCTGTGATAATAGAAGTATTGCATATATGCAATAGGATTGAAATCAGAAAGTTTAAATAGAGGATTCACAGGCAGATCTCAGATATAACAGCTAGTGGGTAATCATTGTGTAAAACCCTTAATTAAATAATGACTAAAATTATATATATAACTAGTTGTACTTTCATTGACAAACTTTGTATATACTTGTATAATGATATATTATCTAATAAAAACAGATAGGCAAAATTGCTACTTTAATTTAAAAAAAAAAACTTCATCTTACTCAGTTTACAATAGTATTAATCAAGATGAAACTATTACCTGTTTGCATCTGTAGATAAGTATTTTTTTTCTCTTGTACTATGATTTTTCTTGTTTAGCTATCTACTAACTTTAATCTTTAATTACCTTACTATGTCAGGTAATTGAACAATATATATAACTTCATTTATTACACTTCTTTGGATAGTTAAACTTAAGTAATCACAGCTAATTCTAGTACTTTAGGATACAATAGCTGAATAGGGGTTTTTACAATATTATAGATTAGAACAGATAACTTTAAGAAGCAGGTTTTTATAATTTAAGGATTTAGCAAATACTTAATTTAGCAAGAAAAACATTTATATATTTATTATGATTTATAAGGCCAGTTATTATTTTTAATAAAGCAAAGTACTAAGAGTTTTTTTCCTTTCTTTATGGCCTTTATAGCCTTTATTTAGCTTAAAATTCTTTATTTACATTTGTTATTCTATATCTACTACAACTACTATGTTCATTATATCTACTATGTCTACTACTTTATTCTCAACTTATACTTATCTGATATGGCTTTTATGCCCTAGTAGCCTATATAGCTGAAATAGCCTAAGTGAGCCAGGTTATCCTAATTTGGAGTAGCTGTAATTACATGCTACATAACTTCTTTGAATAACACTATATGCAATACAAATACTTTTTACATTTTCTGTTTCTGGTTTTGTATAACAATGTTGTACAGCTATCTTATTAATAAATATATACATGCTAAATTTTTTTAGCTAATTAAATTGATACAAAAAACCAATCAAATTAATACAAAAAAAGCTTATAATTATTTATTTAACTAATCAATTTTGGTAAAAACATGTAACAATTAAGTTGGCATTAATAGATTTGAAAGGAATACAACAACATATAACCTTATATGAATATGTAATGTTCAATTTTTTGGTTATCTATATTTTTTTCTATTTTAAAAAAGTGATATGATTGTCATATTTTGCTTATTTAGATATTAAGATGATAATTACTGTATATGTATTTAAATGTTAAAATAAATAACAAGGCCATTATAATTTAATTTAATTATTATCATTATTATTTGTAATCTATATAATAAATAGTAACTGCTATCAATAAATATGTACTGTTATTCTGATATAATAGTTTAAGGTGTAGTTTTTTAAAATTTTGTCATAAAGAAATTCATAAAATAAAAATAGTTTAATAAATGTAATTAGATAATCATATTCTTAGTTAATATGTAATGATCCTTTAGTTACTATATATAATAAAATAGTTTTGGTAAAAATTACTTAATGAAGAACTTAGTCTTATGCTTCATTATTGAGCACCATTGTTCAAAAGAAGAAAACCTACTTGATTCAATCTTAATCCAACACCTGGTATGCAGCATATAAAAAAATTATTTACAATAATAGGTCACTTAATACCAACATTACAAATATAATTTCTTATAATTTAGATCAGGTATGTTTACTTCTGTTCATGGTTTATAGAATCAATATGATAGAATCATAATGATATGCTAAATATATAAAACAAATTAATAAAGATAGATAAGATTAATAAAGTTAAGTGCCTCAGTAACAGTTGATGGTAGTAGCACAATATAAGGTAGAAATCAATTATAGAATACAAAAAGTCAATAATGTAAATATAAAATTATTTATTATATAGTTCTAAAGAGCTCAGAAGCTGAATATTAAGATTTATAGAGGTGTGATAACCTAGTGAAGTGGATAGGTTGTCAACCCCCAAGTGGCAGATCTAGAGTTCAAATCCCACTGACAGTGAAATTTGTAATTCTTTCTGTGTTATAGTTAACTGTCTTTCATGATTGGTTGAGACAAGATATTTGTAACCCATGTCATACTAGCATAACTAGAAGGTCTAGGCATTTGTGCAACATTGTATAAAGGAACACAAACTGGTACCAGGTGGTGTGAACCCAAGATAAGTCCTTAGGCCATGTAAATCATAGGAACCAGGTAGAAAGATAGAAGCCCATTTGGAAAACCTGAATAGAGAGGTAACTCAAACTTTTGACAGTGCTACTGTAAAGACTAGACCTATAAAATGGAGCTAGAACTTGTAAAACCAGGCAAAGAGCCAGCCTTTGAGGAGAGGCTAAATGGAACCAATCAGGTTATTGGAATTTTCAGATTTCAGAGAAAAAGGTTATATGCCAGCAAACATGTAAACCAGAGGTATATAGTTATAACCTGCCTTTCTGGGCTATCTGGTTTGGAAGTTGGTGGAAATTGAATTAAATACCAAAGTAATAGAGATATGTTGTGAAGTCAGTATTGGGGTTGAGGTAAACTCTATAAGGGCATAGCAGTTAAATGATACACCCTAACTACTAGTGTTGGTTTCGGCTATAGTGATACCAGGTCAGCTGTAAGAATGAGATACAGAAGGTTCTAGAAGGTTTAGTACAAGGTCAAAAGTTTCTCATGTGAGTGAACTGCTTTAAAGACTTAGTGATTATGGCATATTTGCACCAGTATTGACTGGGGCATCTTGGTAGGTGTAGGTAGGTGGGTAAATACGAGAACAGAGTAGTTAAATAAAAAACTTACAAGCAGGTTTCAGATATGACAGCTAGTGTAGAACCCTCAGGCAGATTACTTAAATTAGATAATGACTAAAGTTGTATGAGTGGCTAGTTGTATACTCTTTCCATGGTTGCCTCCTGTGGTTGTAATACAACTATTAGCTAAATATACTATCAATAAAATCCTAGATTACAAGTACTTATCTTAATATTTAAAAAAAAAAAAATTAAGATTTATAATTAAATAACAAATAATTAACAGTCTAGTATATAATAGTTATATTCTAAGTGTTGACTATAAACAGAATTTTGAAGTAAAATATAATTTGCTGCTTATATTACAGATTACACTTTGCTGTAAAATTCTGATTATAGTTAACTATTTATAATATAACTAATATATTAAGATGCACTGTTGCTAATTAAAAGATGACTTTGTGTAATAGTCAGATGGATTTCAGTCAAAAGAGACATTTAGATTTGATGAGTGAGCTTGATTTGAATTTAGTTTATTTTGGATAATCTATACCACATTGAGACTATCACTCTACTAATACAAGAATCACAGTATTTCACAATATATTAGTAATTATTAGACTAAATAGGCTAATATTTAATTACTATTATGAGTTAGGTTTATTCTTTAATAATAATTTTCTACAGTTACTTGTAAATGAACTCTTCCTTTGATTTATATAAGATAATAGAATCTGATTTTATTACTTAAGTAATAGTACATATTATTTATAAAAAAAATTTTTGTCTATTTTTAGAAGACCAATAATTATTATTATATTTATAATAAAAATATTACTATTTATTACCAGTGATGATTATTACCAGTATTATGTAATAACAGGTGATCATATATTATGTGATAATGTATTAGTAATAATCGCATTAGTAATAATCGCATTAGTAATAATTACATTAGTAATAATTGCATTAATAATAATCTAACAATAGTTTTTCAAATTCACTTTAACTTTTGTCTCTTGTTACATTAGGGTTGTTTGATTTTAGTTGTTATTAATTCTAGCAAAGACATTTTTTACTTATTTTGAGTGACACTTTTAGGGTTGCAATAGCCAACCGGCCATTGTCTCTCATTAGATCCTTTGCCTTCGTTGAATTCAAGGTATGTAAGGCTTTTGTTAACTATTAGCTGCCATTAATTTTATACATTTTTCAATACACAACAATATAACTTATTTTAGTAGTTTTTTTGTTAGTAAAAGATACCAACTAGGCCTTTTCTTTTTTTATATTTTAATGCATTAACGAATAGAAAAAGGGAAGCAAGTAATTTTCAACGAATTTGAGAACAACTTTACTGGTTCTACAGATTATGAGCTAGAAAGTCTTTTTCCTGGTGTTCTTGGTTCCAAGATTGGAACTGTTTTTGGTGCCAGTAGTTTTAAGTTGCTGCCTGGTTCAGTAACTTTGAATTCCATGATTCCTGGTCCTATGAATTCTGAATTATGTGGTTCTGTAAGTGTTGAATTGCCATACGGTCTTGTGAATTCTGAATTATGTAGTTCTGTGGATGTTATGAATTCAGAGTATAATAATTCCAAGTTATATAGTTCTGGGAATGTTGAATTGTCGCTTGATCTTGAGCCTGGTTCTGTGGATGTTGAATTGCCATCTAATCTTGTGCTTGGTTCTGTTGATGTTGAATTGCTGCCTAATCTTGTGCCTAGTTTCATAAATGTTGAATCGCTGCCTTGTCTTGTAAATCCAGAGTATAATAGTACTTGGTCTGGTTTTGAAGATTTTGAGCTGTCTGGTTTTAAGGACTTTGAGATAAACAGTAATTTGCCTAGTTCTGTAAATTTTGGGTTTGCAAGTTTCAGGTCTGTTAATAATTTACTTGGTTTTGTAAATTCTAAGTTCACTGGTAATTGCCTAGTTTTGAAGGTTCTGGGCTTGATATTAGTATAAATACTGACATTAATCAAATGATTCAATATAATACAACTAAATTAAAATTACAAGTAGGAGATTCCTTTGATGATTGAAACACTGTACAACATGTGGTTAATGTTATTCAAAGCAACACAGTTTTGTGGCTATTAAGTGTCACAAAGATCTTGATCCTGTTGATAAGTCTATTATTTGACACCGTGATTATGCTTGTTGGAAATCAGGTGTGAACAGACCAAAAAAAGTAGAGAATATTGATGAACATCATGATAGTGTTTCTGGTAAAACTGATTGTCCATGGCTAGTTCACTTTTATTTTGGTAAGCATGCAAAGCTATAAATATTACTAGCATAGTAGATAAACACAATCATATTTATAATCTGAACACTATAAAATTGGCTCTAATGCATTTACAATTTCTACTAACAATTTTAGACAGAATCAAGAACTATACCATTGTTGGTCAGCTTAGTGTTGGCCAACAATTTGACCTTCTTGTAAAAGAATTTCCCCAATATTAAATAAAAAAAAGAATCTGTATAATGCTATTAGTAAATTTTGAGGTATAAGGATTCATGATGAATCTGATACTGCTACAATGTTGCAACATCTTTTTAATTTGAAAGAACAAGACCAAGAATATGTAGTTATTTCATGTATAGAGGGTAAATCTAATGAATTGACAGGTTTATTCTGGATGAGTAGTCAACAGAGAAATGAACTCTGGCCCAAGTTTCATGACGTTATCATTCATAATAATACAGCCAAGACAAATTGGTATGAAATGGCTCTTAGCCTATTTATTATAGTTGATAATAACTTTAAATCAAGAATCCTCGCACAAGCTTTAATAAAGTATAAAACACAAGTTGATTATGATTGGATCTTGCGATATACATTAGAAGCAACCAATAACTTGTTTCCTGTGGTTTTGTTTAGTAATGAAGATCCAGTGATGATCATGGCCATACAGGTCATATACCCACAAACATACCATTTTTTGTGCATCTATCACATTGGTGAAAATATCAAAAAGAAAGCCAAATCGAAACTTTATGTTAATGTGGCTAAAAATTTTGTTGAAGATTTTTACCATATGAGAAATAGTTGCATCCAAGAACTTTTTGAATTAAAATACCAGCATATACTTACAAAGTATAAACTCTGTTGCTCCTATCTTGAAACAAAGCTTTATCCAAATCGTGAGGCTTAGGCAAGATATTCTATATTAAAAGTGTTTACAGCTGGCGCTGAGTCAACACAAAGAGTAGAGTCAATAAATAGTGTTCTTAAAAAACACATTGATCAAGGTACCTTGTTGAAGGAACTAATAAAAGCAATTGAATAAGAATTAAAAAAAGAAGCCAGTTATAATCGTATCAGAGATTATTATGGATCTAATCTATCATCTGGCTTACTGTCTACTTACAATACCATTTTCAAGGCTATTTATTTGGTATTGGCTGAACATTTGACAACCAATTCACTTTTACTTCAATGAGCCCAAATGAACCAGTCATTATTATACCAAGAAATTTTGACTACAATTAAACAGGCAAGTATCTAATTTTACTTGTATCTTACTAATAAATGCTGACATTAAATTCTATAGATAATTTTACTAATAAATACTGATATTAAATTCTATGAATAGGTTAAGGAGTCCAATATTGAAGTTGATCATGCAATTAAACATCTTTATGATGTACCTCAAATTCAATTAAGCAAACTTTTATTAGATATATCAAATGAGAAAATACAAGAAATTTGGGAGGTTTTTTATATTGCAGCAACTTCGGCATCCAAATCACATTATGTCATAATTCTTAAGGATTCAATGTTGCTTTGTACATGTATGCAAATAATAAATTTAGGAATGCCATGTCATCATCAATATTGAATTTTTATTCAATCACCTAATGCAATTTTTTATTTGGGGCTTATTCATACTCATTGGTTTAAATTAATTCTATCT